TTCTTACGAATTGTTTTCGGGAGTATAATGTGTGTGTGTGTTTGTGGGAGGGGGGGAGGTGATTATGTAAGCGGATTCCCATCGCTCTTGATGTGGCCAGAATGTGACTCCTAATCTCCCTTAGTTCGACGGCTGCGAACGAATAAGATGGGTCGAAATGTCTCGGCCACATCAAACATCTGATTTGACTCCACTAGGGGTGAACCTAATTGACCTGTTGATAGTCCTAATCACTCCACAATTCAACCGGGTCGGGTCATCCTCACGAACTCGTTCAGATAAACGTTTGCTGGTATGCGGTCAATATACATTATCCCACAGGAATAGGTGATTAAATACACACAGAGAAAGATAAGGCAGAAACGGTCAATGTATCTTTGAGTTGAAAGTGTTAACGTGACCTTGAGATGAACACAAGGGGATGTTTTGCTGCGAGGAATGCTTGTACAATCTGAATGCAAATTTGAGCAGGTACAGAGTACGAATTTTGGATAACGGAACGGAATAATGGATGAGGAGAGGTTATGTAATGGGTCAAATCAGTGTAAGACTGAACCAAATAAACCAAACGGTTGATTAATGGATCTATTACTGTCTAAGAAAGAGATCTGTGAAACGCAGTGATTTGACAGAGCAAATAGCCGTTGAACTTCTGGAAAAAATAACATTTGCTAGGAAGAATGTGTATATTAGTATTTCTTAGTCAAACACATCAAATTTTCCTATTTGTGGAATATTTGTCAAGGAAGAACTTCGATGAACAGTTGTGAATTTGATGCCATCAACGATAACATACCCCGCATCAAAAATCCGATTTAACATACCTTCGTTGCTTAATTAGCCACTGGGATTTTTCAGGACCAATTAACCGATCAACCCATCACACTACCTATGTTAAATCTGTTGCCATCACAACATTTTCTGACCTGGATCCATTTTTTTAAAGAAGTAAAATCTATAAGGGTTTGTTATACCCGAGACCGAGATCGCACCACAAATTTTTGTTAGACGGTTTACCTCAAAATTGAGCTTATTGGGGGTGGGAGCAACTGTTTGACTTGCAGTATCTCCCGCGAGCATCCGGTGACGATAGCATTTAATTTGGATGATCCCTCTATGTATTATCAAACTACACCTTTTCCTATCAAACTTTAACCAAAACACACAGTCATATAGACTCATCCCATTATCCTTTAGCCAAAACCCGTAATGCTTTAGTTACAATCTGTAGTCCTTCAGGCTCGACGCACAAACTTTAGCCATCCCGCTATGTAGACAAGTCAGATAAAAAACAGTATCGGACCCTATTCGGAGTTTAACGAATATTAGGCCTTTCATTTTCTCCAAAACGTTGATGTCGCACAGCTTGGTTAAGAGAGGACAGGGTGTGGCGGTCGCATGCTACACCACATGTTGATTGGAGTGAATTTACACGATGTGTCCTGTATCATCATACCATTTGACACATCTCGTACAGCCTCAGTGTTTCCGTATAACATGCCATACTCCGGTTGTAGGCGACCCGAACCAGTTTGCATACACCCATTCCCGTGATATCCTGGATACCCTTGCTTATCTGTCCCACTTTGTTCTATCCAACCTGGATAAGAAAAGCAAGGCTGTACGCATATGTTTTCTTGACTACAGTGATGCTTTCAACACAATTGATCGAGAAAATTTGTTAAATATCCTCTCTTCTCGGGCGGCGTTTAACCTTCCACGATTGAACTCCTGGTCAACTATTTCTCCAACCGTCAGCAGTTCCGAGCGCTACAAAGATCGTACATCTTCACTGCTGCCCTCCTCAAAAGGCGCTATTTTATAACCATTTTCTATTTTCTGTTTACATTTCGTATATGTCTGTGAGCAATTCTTCTCTTCTCGTTAAGTATGCAGACAATATAACATTCGGACTGTCCTACCCCAATTCATTATTGCAAACCACTCTACAAGACGACTTGTCTGATCTAGTTGAGTGATCAAAACAAAGGAACCGTCCCCCTTAATCCCCCCCAAAAAAATGTTACGACGTATATTTTTTTCCTTTTTTTGAAAGAGGGCAAAAGTATGATGAATTATCATACGCCAGCCAGCCTTTATCTATCCTCAGTGACCAGATGGAACGACAACCGTCCGTCAAATATCTGGGCGTTATTTTCAACCGCAACCTCACCTGGTCTAACCACGCTAATGACGTTTTTCTGAAGGTCAGGAGGCTCATGTTTCATGTTTCACGTCTTAAATCACTTTCTATTCCAAACCATCTCATAAGGCGTTTTGTTTTTGCGTGCGTTTTGCCTCACTGGCTTTATGGGTACCCTGTTATCTTCCCTGGTCTTTTTGAACAAGGACCTCAAACTGATTTCCCGATCCCTCAGATTTCTCTCCGTTTGTAGTCTCATACCACGGGAACATCTGGTACAGTATGTGGTTACACATCACTTCAATTCCTGTAAAACATTCTCTAACAAGATTTTATCTGATATTTCCCATCCTCTATATTCCGCCCGTAGTCAGTGCCTTTCTCACTCATTCACCCGTTCGACTCACAAATTTCTAAGGACACGCACTGAAGCTTACAGGCGGTCTATTGTCCCTTATCTCGCCACATTTCTAATAAACCATGAACTCGTTGCAGGAATTCTGCGCAAAACGATAAACTAAATCAATC